ATACCCCAGGAAGCACCACCCAGCATCAATTAACCAGATATTGGCATTATGGAGGAAAACTGTGCTCCCCACACTTGTCCCCTCGTTAACAGCTGTATTGTGGATTAAACTTCGCAGTTTTCCCCATCTTGCGCCAATTATTAGCGGGCGAAAAGATAATAAATAAACCCAAAGCTGGGCACAAATCTGCAAAGGGGATCTGAAAGGTTAGTGCGGTCCTAATTAGCATAAATATGCAAATCAGCCTGGCTTCCTGTCAGCTCCTCCAGGTTTGCTGCCGCTCAGCGCTACAAATTTCAGCTCGACGTTAAATTTAAACTCTGGCTCAAATTAGGGGCTTGGCTGGAGGCTGGATGGAGCCGCCTCCGACGCTGTGGATTCCCCGGGAGGGGTGAAGGGCAGAAATCCCGAAGGAAATGCGCTCGGAGCGAGGAAAACCTCAGAGGCAGTGGTAAGGTTTGCTCCCAGCGCAGGGAATTGCGGTGCTCGCCCCACACCGAGGGGTGACTTCACCCCAGTTTTGGCTCTTTGGGTTCTTCAGCTCCTGAAGACCTTAAAAGTAAACATTTTTCACTCCCCAAGGCAGCCAGCTCCACCTCTAATTCAAGTTTTGTTTTGCCTGAGAGTTGTCTATAGAGACGCCCATTAATTATTAATTGGAGTGTGACACCGAGCCGCCACTCCCTAACGAGCCTGGGAAGATTTGTCATGGATTTCATTCCTCCCCTGCAAGGGTTCTTCGGGTCTCGACTCCTTCTCATTCCTCCAGACTGGTGCCACCAGGACGAAGCTGCAGAAGACTTTTTATGTCCCAAAAAAGCCTCTCCCAAACTGCAATTAAAAGCAGCAGTTTGGGAGCACAAGGCTCCCGTTTGCGGGGTTGGCAGAGCCCGGCGGGGCGAGCGGGGCGGGTTCGGGGCACCCAAAATCTCATCCCCACAAAGCAGCCCGGTGTAAACCCCAAAACCCTTCTCTTTCCCCCCAAAAGTGACTTACCGTGGCGGGGACCGTCCTGGCCCTGCCCGGTGGCCGCGGTGACGCCGAGCTGAGAGCGGCGGGTCCTGAAAGTCGAGCGGCAGCAAATTTGGGGGTGGGAATTTCCCCTTCGGGTTTTGAGCGAAGAGCGAAACCTCCGAAGCAGGAAACGAAAGGGGCGAGAGCGACGGCGGCGAAGCGAACTCGGAAAAGCCCCGGGGAGGGCGATGGAGGCGCCGGGGGGCTCGTGGGGACCAAGGGTTGGCTCCAACCGGTGCCTCAGTTTCCCCTCGCACCTTATTCCAGCTCTTTAATTTGGGGCCGAGGGGTGTTTGTGCCCCGGAGACTTCATCCCCTGTAAACCAGTTAATATTCCAGCTAATATCCCAATAATCCCGCTTAATCCTCGCTGTACTCTACCTCAAATCTCCAAAATCCTCCACTCAGCACCGGAGCCAAAGGAAAATCCTGGGCTGGGTGAAGGATCCCGCCTGGGCCCGTCCCCCCGGGACTTTCCCCGTGGCCGTCCTGCTTCTCCCAGCACGCCCAGTGCAAGGCACGTACTGGTCCCAGCACACCTGGAGCCACGACCTTGGGACCTCCATAAATCCCTGCGGCCCCAGCACGCCCAGTGCCAGTCCCTTACTGGTTCCCAGTACACGTGGGGTCCTACCCACGCAGCTCCCAGTGTCCCCAGTGCCAGTCCCTTACTGGTTCCCAGTACACGTGGGGTCCTACCCACGCAGCTCCCAGTGTCCCCAGTGCCAGTCCCTTACTGGTTCCCAGTACACGTGGGGTCCTACCCACGCAGCTCCCAGTGTCCCCAGTGCCAGTCCCTTACTGGTCCCCAGTACACGTGGGGTCCTACCCACGCAGCTCCCAGTGTCCCCAGTGCCAGTCCCCTACTGGTCCCAGCACAGCACCCCATTTCAGGCGCAGGGCCGGCCGGCGGCTCCGGGACCGGGCGTTGCTCCCGGGACGGGCGGGCGGCTCCGGGACCGGGCGTTGCTCCCGGGCCTGGCGGCTTTAGGACCGCGGCGGCCCCGCCCGTGCACCTGCCCGGTGGCGGAGGCGGGACAGGCGGCGCAGGTGGCCCCGCCCCACCCGGACGCACCTGCGGCCCCGCAGCCGCTGTGGAGCCGGTGAGAGGGGACGGGACGGGGTCCCGCTGCCGAGCCCCCCTCTGCTCTAAGCGGGTCCCAGTGCCCGACTCCTGCCGGGGGAAGGGGATCCCGGGGTCCCGGTGGGCAGCCCTGGCCCCAGGGAAAGGAGGTCCGGTGGTCCCGGGGGTCGTGGTGCGGCGCCCGTCTCTGCGGTAAGGGGGTCTGGGGTCCTGCTGTGAAGTCTTTGCCCCGGGGGAAGAGGTCTGGGCGTCCCGGTGGTCTCGGTGCGGAGCCCCCCAGCACGGTAAGGGAGGCAGGAGGCTCTCGGTGAGGAGGAGCCCTCGGCCCGGGGGAAGCGGGAGCAGGGTGGTCCTGGTGAGGGGTCCTCCTGCGGGTTGGGTTCTCGGGGGTCCCGGCGCAGAGGCCCCTCCGTGCGAGGGGGCTCAGGGATGGAGCCCCTCGGGGAGGGGGTCCGGATTGAGCCCCCGGGGCAGCCCAGCGGCTCCAGGGGCTGTGGCAGTTCTGGGCAGGGCACTGGGAGCACCTGGCACCCATCAACCCCACGGGGCACCCCAGGGTCCCCGGCGGGGTAGAGACCCTCACACAGCCCCCATCTCCGGGCGCTCCCATCCCACAGCCCGGGAGCGGCTCCGGGACCCCCTGGGCTCATCCCGAGGGATGAGGGCAGCGCCTGGTGGGGGGGAGCCCGACTGGATCGTGGTTCCTGTGAGCGCCCAGCCCTCGCACTCCCCAGCACGTCCATCTCCTCGCACTGGAGCTGAATCCCTGTGGGTACGATCCCTCTGTGCCCCGCTTCCCACTCTTGGCTTTTCCCCGTCCCTGCCCCTCCCGATGTCATCGTGGCTCGCTGCCACGTGGAGCCAGCGGCAGCGTCGGTGTCAATTCACTTGTATTTTATTTATTTTCCTTCTTTTCCTCTACCAGTATATCTTTGTTTCCCCCTCTTCCCACCATCCTTCCCTCCCGCATCGCGGGGATGCTCCCGGAATTCCCACCGAACCCCTTTTCCCCCTGTTCTGACGCCAGTAGGCTCCACTGGGGCATTTTGATGTTGTTTTTCCAGGGCGCAGGGCCAGCCCCGTGGCAACACGGGATTTTCGGGATGGGCTGGATGGGATGGAGCAGAATCCACCTGAGAGTTTGCAGGGCAGGTAGCGGAGGGCGCAGGTGCGCCAGGAGCTCACGCTGGAGCTCTGTGCCAAATCCACCCCAGTCTTTTGAAGGGAAAATTTTTGTTTGTATTTGGCTTTTTGGCCCTTTTTAGGAAGGGACTGAAGAGGGGGTTGGGGTTAGGCCCCCCCCCCGGGAGCGGCAACTCTTGTGCACAACCTGTGCCACTCCCCCTGCACGCCTGAGTGTCCGTCTGGGGTTAATTAGCACCGACACCTAACGAGCTTCTCTAGCAACGTGGCAGGAAGGAAGCTCAGAGAGTTGTGGGGTTGATGGAAACTGAGTTTTTCCTCCTAAAATCCGCTGCTCTTCCCTCCTCCTTGTTGTACGGGCGGCAGCGCCGTGCGATGAAAACCTCGAAGCTCGGGGGCACAAGCAGAGCTGGGGGTACCTTCGCTCAGCTTCGGGCAGAAATTCCGAGGAAGTGGCAGGGAACACGAGGGGATTGGTGTTTTTTCCCCAGTTCTACTTTTCCGCGCTGGATGGGGCCGGGCGCTCTTGGCAGTGAAGCGTGGTCCAGCTTTGATCCCGCGGCGCTCAAAGCGGGGACCCCGGGACCCCCCTCCTCCTCCTCCTCCTCCTCCCCAGCCCAAACTTCCTCGCCCTTGAAGTTGTGGCAGGTGCCCTTCCCCGCCCCATTCCCAAGAGAATGAAAAGAAAAGGGGAAAAAGGAATCAAGGGAAGGGGGGGGAACCCCGAAGTGGAGGAGGAGGAGGAGATGGCGGTGAATGGATCCCGCCGGGCTCGTCCATGCTCCGGCGGCCGCGGCTCACAAAGAGGAGCCGCGGGAAGTTTGGGGGTGGTGGAAAGCTCAGAGCCTCCGACGGATCCCGGGGCAAATTCGGGAGCTGGCGCCGAGCTCCCGGTGGCCGTGGCAGCGGACACGGCCCCGGCCGCCGAACCTGCGGCTGCAGCTCCGCCGAGCCCGGAGCACTGCACGGTCTGCTCGAGTTTCCCTTCGCAGGCAGGAAAATGCTCAGGGAAAGGCTTTTTTCCCCAGTGGCCGAAAAACTTTCGGCATTTTTTGTTCTGTTTTAACTTCGGCGTGCGAGGAGCGGCGGCGGGAGGAGGCTGCAGCCTCCGGATCGGTCCCAGAAGAAACTTTTTTGGGGAGGGGTCTCGTGTGCGGTGGGGGGGTGGCACATCCTCTGGCATTTATTAACCCGCACTTTTCCTGGTGTTTTAATTTCGGGATGGATTTAGGGGCTGGAAGTGCTGGGGGGGAATGAATTTTACAGGTGTCACTTGTGCCAAACCTTATATTAACATATTGCCATACCAGTATATTACTAACATTGTATTGCAATATCGATATGTTCATATGATGCTAATATTAATATAATATGTCAATATGTTGATGTATTTTGTTGCTATTGTATTGTTACGTTATTATTTGTTATTAACCTGGTCTAGTGGGAGGTTCCCTGCCCGTGGCAGTTGGTCGGACTGGATGATGCTTAAGGTCCTTAACAAAACTATTCCATGAGTTGATCGTATTTATATATTCCATTTTTGGTACACTATAATCTCTATGAAATACAGTATACTAAATCTTTATTTTGACATCAAGGGGATGCTCCCGGGGTGCATCCAGCCCGGGAATTCACCGCAGGTGTTTCTCCTCCCCCCAGGTCACTGGAGCAAAGCAGGACACCGTGATGCGCCCCGAGCCCCCACATTGCTGAATCCCGCAGCCCGGAGAACCCTCCAAAAACGCCCCGAAACCCCACAATGAGGCTGTTCCGCCGCCGCTACAGCACCTTGAAGGTGGCCTTGGCGGGCGCCGTCTTCGTCCTCTTCCTCTTCATCCTCCAGAAGGACGTGGGGAGCAAGGAGCCGGGCGAGGAGCCGTGGCTGCGGAACATCGTGCAGGGCAAGGACCAGGTGCTGGACCTGATGCTGGGCGCCGTGCGGGACCTGCGGGACTCGATGCCGCGGCTGCAGATCGGGGCCCCGGAGCCGCCGCCGGAGCCGCTGCCCAGCGCCCGCTCCTGCCTGCCCGGCGTCTACACCGCGGCCGAGCTGCGGCCGCTGATGGAGAGGCCCCCCCAGGACCCCGCCAGCCCCGGCGCCGACGGAAAAGCCTTCAAGAAGGATCGCTGGACGCCCGAGGAGACGAAGGAGAAGGAGCGAGGCTACGAGAAGCATTGCTTCAACGCCTTCGCCAGCGACCGCATCTCCCTGCAGCGTGCGCTGGGCCCCGACAGCCGCCCGCCCGAGTGAGCGCCGCGCCCAAAGCCCCTGGGGCCACATACTCCCCCAAATTACAGAGGAAATTAAAGCAGATTTGGGCCAGGATGTCACGAGCACTGGCAGAGGATTGAGCGCAGACAGAGTTAAACCAAAAAAAAATTTATTTATTATTATTTCTTTATTTCTCCCTGATTTGGGCCCCTTGGGGGCGGGTTTAATGGCAACAGGCTCTTTGTGTCTCTGTACCTGCTTGGTGGCGCCGGCACCTCCCCGCCTTTCCCTCCCCTCCCTCCTTTATTCCAGCGGCTCCAGCGGTCAGACTTTTTCTTTTCTTAGCCGAGTGGAACAGCCCTGGACCCCGCTGGGGTTGGGGGGAGGGAAACTGGGAATCTCCAGAGATTTCCCCGCCTGGCCTCGGCCGGGGGCTGCCGGATTAAAGCGGGGCCCGCGCGGAGGGGTGGGACGGGGGAGACATGGGGGGAATTTGGGATGGAAAAAGCCTTGAAAGGGATGGAGGAATCCAGCCCCCTGCGCTGGCAGGCGATTATCCGTGCTTAGCAGGTGTAGCGGTGACAAAGGGGGAAGCGGAGGCCGGGAATGGGACTCACTCAACCAAAATCAATGGGAATCAAAGCAGGGACGAGCCCAGAGGGGCCAGAGCTGCTCCCCTGCAGCTGTGGGGTTTAGTGGGGGCTGGATATCGGGGGGTCACTCCGGTCGTGCCTCCCTCTTCATCCCCCCTATTCTATCCCCCAGGTGCATCGACCAGAAGTTCAAGCGCTGCCCTCCCCTCCCCACCACCAGCGTGGTGATCGTGTTCCACAACGAGGCCTGGTCCACCCTGCTCCGGACCGTCTACAGCGTCCTGCACTCGTCCCCGGCTCGGCTGCTCCGCGAGGTCATCCTGGTGGACGATGCCAGCACGGACGGTGGGTGGGGACCACGGGGACACAGGGCCGGGGGGGCAGGGAGCGTGGGGGGATGTGGGTATGAGGGGTCAGGGGGGTGCAGGAGCTGTGATGGGATGTGGGATCAAGAGGGATGCTGGAGCCATGTGGGATGTGGATGCCAGAGGGAGGCAGGACAAGCTGTGGTGGGATGGGGGAGTGACAGGGTGCAGGGGCCACAGGGAGCTGTGAGGGAGTGGCGGGGGGATTCGGGGGCCAGAGGGAGGCAGGATCCATGGCAGGATGTGGGATCAGCAGGATGCAGGAGATGCCAAGCCCCTTTCCAAGCCTGGGAGCAGCAGCAGCTCTGAGCCTCTCGGAGAAGCGGCTCACGCTCCCAGCATCCCGGGATCTCCCAGCAGGTGCTCCCTGTTTCATCCACCCCGGAGCAGCCCCGGGATTTTCCCTTCCGCAGCACCACTGTTAACCCTGCCCTGGGGACAAACCAGGTGCCCCACAAACCTCCACCCTCAGCCAGCTGTAATCCTCGTTAATTAGCACCCAGAGCTCATTAACGCGGGGTTCAGTGTCAGGGCGCTGGGAGGAGCGGACTCTGCCCTTGTCCCAGATAAATTCTCCCTTTCCACCTACGGGCTCCCGTGGAGCAGGAACTCGTGGTGCCCCCGGGCTTCACTGCCCCAGAGCTCGACTCCCACTGTAGCTGGACGTGGGCTGGACTCGGGTCCCCTTCCCAGGACGCTTTTCTCGGGGTCCCAGCTCCCACCAGGCCATTTCCAGGCCCTGGCTTGGCTGCATCTGCCAAGAAATCCCGGGTTCTTCTGGTGACCCTGCACCCGCTGTCCCTTCCCTCAGTAACAGCCTGGTCCTGGTGACACTTCAAGCACAGGGGTGTGACCTCCTCACCATGTCAATCCCCAGTCCCTTTCCAGAGAGGGATTAGACCCTCATAAAACTCATTTTCTTTAGCCAAAAATACACTTGGGATTGGGGAAAGGCTCTGGTGTCCCTGAATGTAAACCCAACTGCAGGGTCTGAGCAGCAGGGATGGGATGGGATGGGGATGGGGATGGGATGGGGATGGGATGGGGATGGGATGGGGATGGGATGGGA